AAATTTGAGTGTTCCAAATTAAATTTGGAAAGCTGAATCTCTGGATGGATCTTTATTTAGTTTTTGTAATTTCATAGATTTTACTGTAGTTTTAAAATTTATGGTAGAGTTTTGATTTGTAGAAGTTGTGAAACTAACAATTGGAGGTTCAAAAAAACAGCTAATTTTGGCAGCAAAACTGATTTGGCTTTGCTATTTTTTGGCATAGAATATGGCACACCATTAGAGTAGTGCTTTTGTCAAGCTAAGTTATTTTTTGGCTTTGGCAAGGCAAATAGAAAAACCATTGGAGTTGCTCTTAGAAGCCAAGTTTATACTCAACTGTGCTAGAAGTGAGGAAAAAAATCCGTGGACCTATAAAATTATTCTGTACACTTTGTCAATTTTTTTTTTTTGAAACCGATATTTCAAATTGTGTTTTTAGATTAAGGTGAAATGATTTAGATGCGGTTTGGTAACGTTTACATTTTATTATTTTTAGTTTATAGAAAATATTAAATATGTTTATGTTTATTTTAGGTAAAAATGAAAACAAAAAACAAATTTGATATACATGTTTTAAAAACTTATTTTGAAAACAAATGAAAGAATTGGTCTGCATGAGGTAGTTGTAGACGGTTGAAGATAATGGCCAGATGTGGTTGTTCGCCTCCGAATGTAGTGGCCAAAAGTAATTGCCACTAGTGGGAGGTGGTTAGTGGTGGCCAAAAGTGATTGCCAACAGTGAGAGATCATGGTCGAAAGTGGTTGACGGTTCGAAATATTAGCCACTCTGTCGTCTAAAGTGCTAGTTAAAGCTTGTCTCTAACAAGAAGTGGTGACCGAATGTGGTTATCACAAGTGGGAGGTGATTGGTGGCTGAAAGTGGTTGGTGTAAGAGGCCATTAACAATGGTGGGCAGTGGTAATAATGAGTAGTGGGTGGTGATTGGAAAGGGTGGCAGAAAGAGGAAGAAATGGAGGGGGAAAATTAAAAAGTGAAACCAATTTTTTTTGTAAACAAACAAGTTTTTATTTACAATTTCAAAAATTCTGAACAGAAGAAAGAAAGAAAATCTAAATGGGGTCGGATCATGACTGCGTTTGTTGGCAAGAGCATTTGCACTGAAAACATATTGACATACGTCCCTATCTAACTTGGATAAAATTTTTTGAACACGTGATGTTATTTATCGTCAAATTTATTTTATCATTTTATCATAATTGTCATATATGATTGAAATATTTTAAAGCAAACTGTATTGATAGTTCTTGAATTTTGTCCATCGTGTCATTTTAGTCCCTACACTTTTAATTTGCCTGATTTTGACCCTTGACTTTTTATATTGTGTCAATTTGGTCCATTTGATAATACTAATTATGATTTTTGTCAAAAAATGATTACTAAGTTGGTTGAGGTTAATTTACAGCGTTAGTTAAATTTATAATTTTACTCTTAAAAGCATGACACATATTCTTATGTGCACATTTTCTATAAAAAAAACACTTAACACTTATAATCAATTGGGTCAAATTAAGACAATATCATAAATTCAAGGTCAAAATCGAGCCAATTGAAATTATAAGGATCAAAATGACATAAGTGTCAAAGACTACTTGTGTAATTTGCCCAATATTTTTTCTCAACTCTTCATCTTTTATAAGCGTATAAGTGGTTTGGTTCGGTCAGGATTATGAGAAAGTTTAGCACCAAACTGAGTCTTTCAGTTTTGGTGGTTAAATAATCGAAATAAACCGCATACTACAATTCAATTTTGTTGGTTTTGTCAATTTGGTGTAGAAGAAAGATTCACATGAAATTTTAAAATAATTTATAAAAACTTGTAAAATTCCACATTGGGAATAAATGAAGAAAAATAGTGAAAATGTCCCCCTCCTTAAATTTTATTACAAAAATTGAATTATTAATCACTTAAAATATAAAAGTTCTTAAATATAATATTTCAGTTGATTCTGTTTATATTAGTGTAAAAATTTTCAAAATCAAAACATACCACACAATATGAAAAACAGACATAAAACTAAAATTTTGATCAATTTTGAGCAATCAGTTTGGTTTCATTGATTTTTCTTACACCCCTAATCTTTCAGTTTATATTAATGTAAAAAATTTCAAAATCGAAATAAAATACCAGTATAAAAAATGCAGCAAAAACTTAAAGTTCGATTGATCTTGGGTGGTTAGTTCGATTTCATCGATTGTTTTTACACTCCTAATCTTTCATGTGACATGGTAAGTTTTACTACTTTTTTAATATGATTGTTTTTAGATATGTACATTGCTTTTATAGTATAAATACAAGAGGTGAAATGGAGCCGTTGATAAATAATAGTTCTCTCATTTTATTTCACCTTTTTACATGTACTTATGCAATAACAATAGTGTGTATGTATAGGATTTATTTTATTTAGAAAATAATAAAACATATCATACTATGAGAAAGCAAATTGTTATTCATACAAAATTTATCACTAAAATGACGTGGCAATGACATTTTTGCAATAAAACGTCATTTAAATGGGGAATTTATTTTAAAATATAAGTCCCTATATAGTTAGGGTTATTAAACGAATCAAGCTACTCAAGCTCAATTTGTGTTTGACTCGTTAAAAACTCATTTGAAATCGGTTTATTATGTAAACAAGTCAAACTTAAAAGTACAATTTATTGGACTTAATCTAATAACTAAGAATTGTTTGATTCGCTAAAACAAGGTAAAATAATTATTCCTGAATTTCGTATGAAATTATCATTCTATTATAATGTGAACGATGATTCAATTTAGGGTGCATTTTTTTTTATTTTTTAGTGAATCAAAGGTGACAATAGATATTTTAATAGAATAATCATGTTATTCCACTTCATTCCAATAGTGAAGCAAATAAATCATTTATCCAAACAAGACACTGCTTACCCAAACGAAGACTCGTATCAATTAACTATGTTGAACGTAACAGGATTATATGCTTATTTTCAAATTTCAATGGGATAAATCGCACATGAAATAAAACAAAAAGATCCGCAATTTTCACACTTACGTTACTTATGTATAGTAGTGTTTTGGTCTTTTTTATTAAATCGTTAACGGGCCTAACAATCCACTTCAATCCATAAAACACAAGAGGATTGTGTGGTTATTTCCAAATGAAAGGTAAGAAATCCACACATGAGCCACACCATAAGAGAGTAAACTAAAATTTGCCCTGTAAAAATCTGAAACTAATTTTACATTTAAGTTAAAAAAATTTCAATTTATAATGTGTGTTTAATTTCAAGGACTTCCTTTCAAGCAATGAGACACTGCTTATTCAAAAAAAGTAATGAGTGATTGGACTTCCACTATATTAAGAGAGCATGTATCATTCCCAAGTGAAATGAAAAAATGTATATATGTTTTACATATTGCAATGCCTAGCTTGCAACCTACTCTCACCAGCTATGTCCTAGTAATACATAACCCTAACTACATCTGGAAACTCAAACAAGAAATCCCTCCAGTGAATCAATGGAATCCTGCTTATATCCTGTAACAACATGACTACATCTCAAACCCCCACAGCCGTGTGCAGCGAAAAAATGAATCCATGAGTCCCAATGTTTATGTGGCACCTCTCACGAATCTCTTTGATGATATCGCTAGCATGATCCACCAGAACTGACAAAGCTTCCAACAAATCTGAAATAGTCAACTTCTTCACAAATAACAAGCATCTTACTGGTCCTGCAATTTATAGAAAGTTAATATTCCAAGTAATACGAAACTAGAAAACAAAATGAAAAAGTAGATATTGTTAGGGGTGTTTATGAAGCGGTTTGGTTCAAGTTAGCACCAAATTAGAATAAACTCAATCAAAACAAATCAAACCATTCTAATGTAGTTCGGATGAAAATCACAGTTCTATTATACTAAACAAACATAAAGGAATCAATCAACAATACATTATTAAAAACAAGTCTTGATGATGATTTAACATAACAAAAATAAAGAACAATGAGAGAGAGAGAGAGAGAGAGAGAGAAGGGAAAGGGGGTTGCCAGAACAGCGGACAACCACTACTATAAAAACAGATAAAGATCACACTTTTTTTGTGTGATGTATGTTATTTAATCACACATTTTAAGTTTTATTAAAGTGTGATCTTTAAGAGTGCGATTAAAAAGAGTCATTTTTAATCACACCTTTTAAGTGTGATTAATAACATTTAGATCACATCTTTTAAGTGATTAATAATATTTAGATTACATCTTTTAATTGTAATTAATAACATTTAGATCACATTTTTTAAATATGATTAATAATTAATAAAACCTATGATAGTATTATTTTTGTATACACATTTGAAGAATGTAAAACACACTATATACTATATTTTTGAATCACAACCATATATTGAATGGAATAACGTTATATATTTCATAAATGAAAGTTAAATGTTCAAAAGTATATACAAAGGAATTAATAAAAAGGTTTTAATTGTGATTATATATATTAAAAAATGAAAAAACTTGAAAAACTAAGTTCTTGAATTCTTTGACCATATTTTGCATCACTTTAAGAAATTTCTGACCTGAAAAATAAAAATACAAATTAATTCAGAAATCGCTAAAAGTATATGAATAAACTTATTATTTTTGTAGAGACTGTTCTTGTCTTACAAAAGACAAAATCGGACATTTTCTCACCATACTGACTATTCATCTCCTACGTCAATAGAAAATGAATAACAACTTTGATTATTACTAGTATAAAATGTTTGGATTACCATATATAAATATGACAGTATATATACACATCTAGCACTCATTTCCAATTTACTTAGCTTCACTCTAGACCACCATTGGAGCACACCCTCGAGTGAATCTGGTGTTGCCCACTGAAAACCCCACCAATTTAGTAGCTCAAGACTTAGCAACAGAAATGGTTGCTAGATTCAACTTCACTTTTACAAAAAGGGCAGACATTAACATTACTACCTAGAGCACAATTTTTTTGCAAATAGTCAGCTGTTATTACCCTCCCTTACCATTAAACCATAATAGATTAAGATAAATCAATCACTACAAGAAACAACCTTTGAAATGAATGTCACAAACCCATTACTTACACATCAATAGCACACCTAAAAAAGCAAACTAGTGACAGAAAAATAAACCAAAGAGAAATGGCCAAAGAGAAAAATAAACCAAAGAGAGTATTTTATAAACCAGTTAAAGTTCCAAGTACCCAAAATAAACAAATGGCTAAACATAACAAACAACAGAAATGGCCAGAGAATCAGATTTAGCACTAAAATTGATAGTTTAACCAATACATCTACTACAACAAGAAGCTAATTCTCACTCAATACACTTCATATTACCCAGAAATACGTACTGATAAATAAATAAATATATATATACTCAATTTTTGATGAAAAAGAAACTTGAATTCTTGAGGGGTGAAGTGTTGGTTGACTAAAATAGAAACCAAATACGCCCTAGAATTTAGAAATTCAAGTGATCAAAGGAAAGAAAGAACCAAGCTATTAGTGAAGGATTCCATCTATAAAACAAGGCTAAATGGTTATGCAAAGAGCAGCTAGTTGATCTAGATGAGTACTCTGACACCAACTTAAGAAACATGGAAGACTTGTCATCTAATAACCTTGCTGGACTATCAAACTGTGTCACTTGACCTGCAAAACTAAGTTTCATGAGCTTTCTGTTAGTGTGTACAGCAGAAACACAACATAGACTAAAATTTCACTGGGAATTAAATGATAAAAAAACCAAGAAATTGTTCTAAAACAAATTCCAAATATTAGACTCAAGTTTTGATGTTCTGTAAGAAAGATTACCGGTTAAAACTTGGCATCAATGGATTCCAAATCTAATAAATTCTGGGTACTTCAGATGCATAAATTCATAGAAGTGAAAAGCGAAAAGAAAAATGAAAACAGAACTGTAATGGAATATGACCTATAAGTGACTTTGATACTTAGATACTTCAGAGAGAGAGATGAAAATAAAAACAAAGATCGACTGTACAAACAACCTTGGAGTTGTAGAAACATTATGTTAATAAATTTGATGGGACAGGTCACAAGAGGATCAAGAAGCAACAGCCTTCATTCAGCTTCTAGCAATTACTGTGAGCCAAAGAGAGTGAATCATTTTTAGATAATACTTGCCATACCATCATACTCAAGTTGAGAAATGAGAAGCAAAACTCTCTAATATTTTTACAGTGTAAAATATCATACCTAAGACTTTGACGTCGAAGACCAACAACTCTCTCAAACCCATATTTACATTCTAAAAGTTAACTCTTAATCAAGATACATATTCACCTGCATATCCTGAGAATCAAGCTTAGATATATACTCTTGTATACCACAATCTCCTTGAGTTTCCATCATTTCAAGAACATCAAAAAAATTTGATGAATCTTGGAAAATTTGATTCAATGCAAACACATTGTGCTTAGTTGGTGTTACTAGTGAAAAACAAGATGCAGAGTCGGGAATTATTCATCGCAAGATATCTAAAGAGTTGTGGGTGTTGATATTGTTCCTACAGACCTACAAGGGCAGCTTTCTCTTCTAGAGCCTTTTACTAATTTAATTTATCTTGTCAAAAGTTTAAAAGAAAAAGAAATGAAATTTTTTTGGATACCCGTGAAAATTAATAACATTACCAAATGCAGATTATACTAAAATTCTTAGGAAAAAGTTCTACAGATTGCAGCAACACTTATGTCCACTAAATGGAAGAAGAAATGGGAGGTATTAGTGTACGCACCATCACTGGGGACCAGAACTAGATCGCTGTCAATAACAGTTGGGATACGATGAGCAATAGTGCACACTGTGTAGTCCCTAAACTCTGTTCAGATGATCTGCTGGATAGGATTATCTGTAGTTGAATCAACTGAAGTAGTGGCTTCATCAAGAACCAAAATTCTTGCTTGAGGTGACTAGAGAACTGATTGACTGAGTTGACATTAAGTAATTGGCTATCTAAGGAGCACGGTTTTCGCATCAATTTCCCATCAATTTTTCATGTTAGAATTGTTCAAGTAGTGCAATATTTCAATAATCAAGGGCAGCTGGTTTTTTTACAGCATCCTTGCTATAAAGTTGGAATGTACACTACTCTCGACATCCAA